GACAGACCATGTGCTAAGCCATAAAACAAGTTTCAATAAATTTAAGATAACTGAAATCATATACCACAGTCACATTAAATAAGAAACCAACAACAACAGAAGGAAATTTGGGAAATTCACAAATATGTGAAAATTGGAGAACACATTCCTAAACGTCTAGTGGGTAAAAGAAGAAATCGTAAGAGAAAAATTAGGATGCCTGGGCACAAAGCCATCTATAGCCCAGGACACTCGACCAGGCCCCAATGACCTGCAGCAAAGAGCAAGAAAACCCTGACACTTCCCATTGATTTTAATCAAAACACTAAATTAAGTACATTAGGCCCACATCTGCTCGGAACAGATGCTCATTAGGATGAAAGTCAAAAAGATTAGACAGGACATATAACTAATACCCTACACTACCCAGGTCTCTATCCCTCAGAAGTTTTTTGTTCTTCCAGTAATTGCCAGGGCTTCTCATTTCACTTTTATGAGGACTCAAACATGCAGAAAAATACTGTAGGCTTACGAGCCTTTTAGCAGATACCCCCTACTTGAACTCAGGCAAAACATGGCACAGAAGATTATGAGTCAGGCAGACAGACGTGGTTTAAAGTTCTAGGTCTGCCTCTCACTGTGTTATATTGGGCAAGTGATCTAACTTCTCTGAAATTCAGTTTTCTTCCCTGAAGAACGGAAATGCATGATCTACTTCACAGGGTTGCCATAATGATTACAGGAGGTAATATATGGGAAAGCACTTAGTACAGTACATGGCTCATAGTACAGTACATTAACTTTATGTCCTTTATTATCAGTGGCTGTTACTGCACAGAGCTAGAGCTGTCTACTAAAAAGTCAGCAGGGGGAGCTCCCCAGACTTCTGTGTGTTTCCCCAGAAATACACCTGATAGAGTTGCAGTAGCTTTAAATTTACTTATACTACTTTAAGTATAGGTTCAGAATTTGTGTTGCCAAAGAAGAGGCATGGCATGTGTTGATGGGTGACTAGAGGCCACCAGGAACCTACAGAATTGTGGGGAAGGCACCAAGATAAAGAAGAAGAGATGGAAATTAACAGTCAAAACACTTCTCTATAGTAGCTTCTGTTTTCTATTACCACTCTCAGGTTCATGTGGGAGAAAGTGGGTAGAATGGATCTTAATTTTCTGCAAATCCATTTTTTGTTAATGGCTCTGAATGCCTTTGGCTACGGGTCCACTGGAGACTCATTTGCCACCATAGTACTGGTCACACCTCCAAATACTGCAAGTGTGTGTGTGCTTCACCCCTGCAAAAAGGCATTCACCTTTCAGAGGTTTTGGCTTTGGGGCACCTGGGTGGCTCAGTCTGTTAAACATCTGCCTTCAGGGGCGCCTGGGTGGCTCAGTTGGTTAAGCGACTGCCTTCGGCTCAGGTCATGATCCTGGAGTCCTGGGATCGAGTCCCACATCGGGCTCTCTGCTCAGCAGGGAGTCTGCTTCTCCCTCTGACCCTCTTCCCTCTCGTGCTTTCTATCTCTCATTCTCTCTCTCTCTGAAATAAATAAATAAAATCTTTAAAAAAAAAACAAAAAAACATCTGCCTTCGGCTCAGGTCATGATCCCAGGGTCCTGGGATAATCCCTCATCGGGCTCCTTGCTCAGTGAGGAGCCTGCTTCTCCCTCTACCCCTCCCCCTTTGCCCCTCTCTCTGCTCGTGCTTTCTCTCTCTAATAAATAAATAAGATCTTTAAAAAAAGAAAAAAGGTTTGGCTTTATGTTTGGAACTAAGAACCAAACAGCCAGATTGAGGTATGGTCAACCATCTAGACTTGGAGCTATAGGAGGACAGGAATCATGCCTCTTATTCACTCTGGTAGCCTAGAACAGTCCCTGGCACATAGCTACACAACAAATACCTGTTGAATATAATTGTTTTGAGACCATTACAACATCATTCCAATCATACAAGTGAAATTGCCTTTCCAGGAAAACTGGGAGTCCTTACTGCTAACAGGCCAGTTTCTCTTTCACTCCAAAAGCCGTTATTACAGGAGCTCTATTACATGATCACAGTAAGTTTAATAAAAAGGAAAAATCTGCATCCATCAGGGCTAGAAGGCTCAAAGAAAGGGCTACTACATGATTTTCCTCAGCAAGCACCACTGGGTCATAAAAGGCTATGTCTAGAAACTGCTTAAAACAAGAGCGAATTAGGGACACCTGGGTGGTTCAGTCGGTTAAGTGTCTGCCTGCCACTCAGGTCATGATCCCAGGGTCCTGGGATCAAGTCCGGTATCAGGCTCCTAGCTTGGCAGGGAGCCTGCTTCTCCCTCTGCCTGCCATTCCCTCTGCTTGTGTGCTTGTGCTCTCTCCGACAATAAAAACCTTTTAAAAAAAATTAAATAAATAATAAAAAATAAATAAAACAGGAATTAATGCAATTAAGAAAAGCCCTGGAAATCAGCCAAGTTCCCTGGGAGCTCTTTCCCTCTTCTAGATTAAGGTCCTAGAAGCAGCATGCTACTTTGATACTTTGTCCTTTAAAATAACTGTAGGAAGGCAGACTAGGAAGCTTTGGAGTCCCACTGCCTGGTTCAGTTTTGGCTCCTCAACTTCTAGCTGTATCACACTGGGCAAGTTAGCCTTCTGGGCTTTAGTTTCCTCCACAGTTAATTAGGTAATAGCACCTATCTCAGGATTATTGCAAGAAAGAAATGAAATGTAACTGGAAAAGCATTTAAAATACTCTCTAGTATACAGCAAGTGCTCAATAAATGTTAGGCTTTTTTTTTTTTTTGGTTGTTGTTATTATTCTTGGAATTTTCTCAAGAGATGAATAGAAGTAATACAGCTGTCAACAGAATCTGGAGGGACATCCAAACACAGGTACCCCCCCGCCACTTCTTGAAAGTTTGTGTTATACCACTTTACTTTTACAAAAGACCAACATTAGTACCTTGTTTTCGCTAACTGAAGGAAATCTGAAGAGGATTTTCACTCTCACGAAAAAAGGTAAAAAGTGAAAATAGCGTTCAGCGTTTGCTTTACAGTGAGCTGTTACAAAGGCAGCATGCACTCTGAGCATCAAGCTGCCACAGCTTTGAACTGTGTCTGTGAGCACATCTGTGCTTTATGTCAATTTATTTTGTGCAGCCACTAACAAGATGTGTCCTAAGGTATCAGAAAAGCCTGAGAGAGGTTATTTTTTGGGTTTGGGATTACTAAAATTTTTTCCATATAAGTTAATGGTAATTGCTTCTTCGCTTTGCACCATTCTGGCTTGCATAAGGTTTTGTAGAAACACTCCACTTTTGGAAACCTGTATCTACAAACGTTGAGGGCCTTTACGAAAAGACCAATAGGTTCTCTGTAACGTGTATCTTGAGAAAACAGAAGAAACTGGTTTAATTGTGGATGGAAACCATCTGCTAACCTAATGCAAGAGTGAGGTTCTTGAGAATCTAGATTTCCTTCCCCTTGAGATACTTTGCATTCTTTGTTAGAGAACTTTTCTCAGTGGATTTCATATCTGTTAACAGCTGCCTGCTGGAACACAACCCCTATATTCAAAAGTATCCATAAGTAAAAGTGGGCCATTTGGGGGTCAGACCTCTGGGCATAAAGTAGGAAACAGGAAATGGCGATAGAGTTCTTAAATCTAAGGAATAAATAAACATACAGCTGTTCCCAAGCAAAGCTAAATGCCAAGGAAACAGGAGATTTTCTAGCAGTAGAGGAACAGGAGGTGCTGTGTGGGGTGATGGAGGCAGATGTCTGGAACAAAGGGTGGAGAAGAGCTCTATAGTACTGCCTGGCAGCAAGTGATTATCTGCCAGTAAGGAGCTTCCACATGCCATCAGCCAAGCCACACAGAAACACCAAGCATGGAGAGGCATTGAGGCACGGCGTCTGTTTACCCACGAGGGCCAGAGGTCCTCAGACAAGGTTGTCAGGGGACCCAGACACAGTCTGCTCCCTGGCCAAGCCTGGGCCGACAAAGAGTCTGGTGGCTAGCAGAGAAACCACTGAGGTTTCTAGGACTTCTAGGCTTTGACACTGGGTCAAGGAGAGACCCAGTGGGAGACCAGAGATCCTGTGGCCTTCCAGCTGTCATAGCTTGGTTAGAAATCACATTCTCCCAGGCTGACGGTGTTACTGCCTCACCCAGATCCCTTCTTACCTTTAACCACTATATGGCCCAGATTTTCCAAAACATAGTATCTTTAAGAAATTTTTAATAGATGCTTATTAAAGACACACCTAAACATGGATTGATTTTTATACCTTTTATGCCTTCACATACATAAATTTAGAGGTTGGCAGTGGAGATGACGGGCAAGTGGAGGAAAGAGTGTGATGGGGAAATAACCTTTGTCAGAAAAAAACAGAATTCTGCTTTGTTTCCTTCTCTAGACACTGCCCAGAAGCAGCAGCACATACTACATCTGAGAGCCTGGTCACACCATGTAGCTTAGGCCAAAAACATTGGTCACTAAGCTATTCAGCCACCATAAAACTGGCTCAGCTGGCATTGTCCAGCCCATTTTCTGTTTCTGAGGTTTCTGAGCCAGCCTTATGGGTCTCTTCTCCTCCTCCTCCTCCTCCCCTGGAAGATTCCACAGTGCCTGGAAACTCCATCTGCTGGCAGATGAGCAAAGGGTTGAAGAGGTGTGCATTAAGTTCCTAATTAAATCACAGGATCTGGTTCATGAGTATCTCACCAACCAAAACATGAACAAGACACCTTTATCATTCAATTAAAAGCATAGCTAGAATCTAATTGCTGGATTAAGAAACAAAGAGTTTAAACAATTTAAAAAAAAATGTTTGAAGGAAGTGGGAATGGGCAAGATAAATAGCTTCGCTCTATTCTAGTTTCCTGCCTTGAAGTAAGGAACTGGGTACAAGACCTCAAAACAGAGTATTCAGCCACATGACAAGATGCCATTACATCAACATAGGTAAAGGAGGGAAAAGCTTTATTTGGCTCCCCGCGCCTTCAACTTTTCAAAATCCAAAGAAACATTTCCTTACCTGCCAGTACCCTGTTAACAGAAGAGTGAGTAGCCAAGCCAGGCTGTCCACGTTCATGAAAAATCCCCGCATAAGGCAAGTACTCAGGCAGCAAGAAACGCCTACAAGAAGGAACCACGTGTGAAAAGCCTAGAAAGACTACCATAAAACAAAGGAGATAAACTATCCACCTGCCCCCAATAATCAAGGCTAAGGGATCCACTCAACTTAGGAATCCACAGAAGCCCAGCACATTGTAAAAATTCCTGGAATTTGTCCTTCTGCAGACTTGTATCTCCTTCCTGATCTTTCTTCTGCAGTTTTGCAGGCTTCTAATCTTGAATAGGATACTCCCCAGGCACTTTTCTATCTCTTTTCATTGTGGCCTATCAAGTCTTTAGGTGGCAGGGCTGGATTATAGGCTCACTAGGAAATAATTCCAGATACGGAATCCACAGTCCAGAAAGTGCGTTTAAAAACGAAATCCCAGGCTCTCATAAAGGCTCCCTCACAAAGGCTGACTACCCAGCTCTTACCTTGGAACGAAGCGTCCAAGTGAAGGTGCAGACATTCGGGCATTGCGTGGAGCTCGGTGCCTGGATCTGTCACCATTGTCCCTGGAGAAAACACAAAGACTATATATAAGAGAGTCACTTAAGCAGAACCAGCCATCAGCCCAAAAGACAAACATTCCCCCAAACGAAATTTCTACACTTAGGTGAAGAACCCAGAGAAATTAGTCATCAGTTTGCTTACTAATTTGGATGGCACATTAATATATTACATTTCTGGAGTACCTCAACTAAAAGATTTATGAGCATTTGCTGACAGTTCAGTAAGAAGGAGGATGATTTTTCATGAGTTAATGTGATCTCTGAACCCTGTAGCATCTGAAATGGAAGTCAAGTTTAGATCTTCCAAGGCACCCAGAATGGAAATATATAAACTTCTCTTTCTAGATTGAAAGATACAGAGAAACTTTGGCTTTGGGGAATCTTGAAGGAAGAAAAAAATTCCCCCATCAACTTCATTCAGCAAATGGTTATCTCTAAATGAGTCTGTTTAGGTCTTTGATGTGGAAAAAAAAATCACTTATGAAAAGTGAAAGAAAAACAACACAAGAAAAAGACTAGGCAGTCCCTTTTTTTAGACTGCAAAACTGGCAATGATGAAGAGTATTAGACAATGTAATCCCAAGCATTCGAGTAAAGAGAAAAAAGTCTAGGTGTTTTCTTTATGGTCTGTTAAAGCAATAGTAATAACCACCATTTATTAAATAGCTACTAAGTTCTAATATAAAGGTTATTTTTTTTAAAGATTTTATTTATTTATTTGACACAGAGAGAGACAGCAAGAGAGGGAATACAAGCAGTGGGAGTGGGAGAGGGAGAAGCAGGCTTCCCGCTGAGCAGGGAGCCTGATGCAGGGCTCGATCCCAGGACCCTGGGATCATTGACCTGAGCCTAAGGCAGATGCTTAACGACTGAGCCACCCAGGCACCCCTCTAATATAAAGGTTACTAACATGTTACCCTATTTAATCCTTCTAACTACCCCAAGAGGTATTATTAGCTTTGTTTTACAGATATGGAAACTAAGGACCAGAAAGGCAAATGCCCAAGGTCACACAACTAGTAAGTGGCTGAGGCAGGATTCAAAGCATATCTGATTCTGAAGCCCTTGCTCTTTCCACTACACTCCACTGCCTCCTACAAGACAGGGACTTCACGTGGCTTAGTTTCTAATGCATCAAAGGAACAATAAGCCAAAGGGCACCGGCTGGACAGTGCAGTTAATTAGCTGCTTAACCAACTTCACAAAATAAATGAACCTCTGAACGCTTGATTTGGTATTTTTTCTGAATTCTCCCTTTGGATTATCTTCAACTTAATGAGATCATCTTCAAACTGGCCCTGGAACTAAAGTTAAGACAATACTTTAGCTTTCAAATGGACCTCTGGGAGCTTTACAAGCCAGAAATGAAAGCCTAGGAAGGTTTTTATATCTTGGTGGGACTGGATGCTGAGCATTAACAGAGAAATCAATATGAGAGATATTGGAAGCTGATCCATTAAAAGTCAGTACTTGCTCTTTATTTTCCCCAAAGAGAAGGCATACTATTGTTTTCCTTAACATATCATATCCCCTTGACTTGAAACTCTACAGATGAAGGGAGAGGAAAGGGGAGAGAGACAGAAAGAGAGAAAGAGAAAAGAAGAGACTATATGGAAAGTAAAAAGGTTATTAAAAAGAACAATGAAATCAGAAGTTCCTAACGAGTAGACTGCAGCTCTGGGGAGCCCACAAATTGTTATAAGATCTTGGTAGCCACATGCATACAGAAAAAAATGAGTCTCTTAAACAAATGAGATAGTTCTCAAATTAAGCTAATATATTACTATTTTTCAAATATATGTAGCTTCAAATTTTGATCAAAGTACCAACTCACTTTAAAGTACAAATGAAGGGCACCTGTGTGGCTCAGTCGGTTGAGCGTCCGCCTCTTGATTTCGGCTCAGGTCATAATCGCAAAGTCGCGAAATCAAGCCCGGAGTCAGGCTCCCAGCTCAGTGGGGAGTCTGCTTGAGATTCTCGGATTCTCTCTCTCTGCCCCCGCCCCTCCCCAGGCTCGCTCATGTTCTCCCTCCCCCACCTCAAATAAATAGATCTTTAAAAAAAAAAAGTACAAATGAATTGGACAGCTGTTCATAACAGCATATTTTACTTATCAATGGGCACTAAAAGTACAGTTAATTATCATGAGAAAAGTTAGAAAATATTTTGAAGTTAAAAAGGGTCCTAAGCCTCAAAAGGTTAGAAACTAAGCCAGAGAAAGGAGCACCATGGGATAAATGCAAGCGCTTCCTCCATAGCTCTGAGAGAGAGCTGCCTTCCCAGAATCAATCACACTGTGGAGCTGACAACTGGCTTCTGCAAGGTCCAAAGATCCCTCTCCCCCTGCACAACAAACAGGTCTCTATCTGGCGTCAGCAGGGCTGAAGAGCAGGGAAGGAGAAGCCAGTGCACTAGATCATTCTGATCAGCAGTTGCCAGTGCTCAAAGACGGCACAAGCCTTGGTGAAAGGACACAGGGAAGACAATTTAGAAAATTGGACAAATACGTCAGGGCTGGGGGGAAATCTGGGCTCCTTCGACATAATTCACAAGCCTCTTTTCGTTGTTATTAAAACCGACAAACAACTTTCTTTCTTTCTTTCTCTTTTTAGAGAGAGAGTGCACAAGCAGGGGTGGGGTGGGGGAGAGAAAGAGAGAGAACCTTTAACAGGCTCTACGCTCAGCACAGATCCCAACTCGGGGCGTGATCTCATGACCCTGAGATCATGACCTGAGCCTAAATCAAGAGTCATACACTTAACCGACTGAGCCATCCAGGCGCCCCCAATCTAACTCCTTTCCGACTCAGTTTCTCCTTCCATTTGAAAAAGGGGGTTGGGACAAAAAACATGGCCAAAGATAATGGCTTTATAGTATTCACAGATTACTGGGGGACATATAGGAAAATACAAATGAGATCAGCTGGCTCAGACACAAAGTCTCAGACTGATGGTCACATTCGGCAACATGAGAGATGTTATACAATGAGTGGAGATGTATCTGCTGGTCCTCAGCTTAACATCTTGACAAATGATGGAGAAGGAGGAGCTAAATGGCATCTCAATAAAATACAGAGAAGACTTCAAATTAAAAGCATTGAGGACTCTAGCATAGAAGGACAGGAATGAGAGCATGGGCCTCAGAACGATTAGAAAACTGTGGAATGCGATGAACACACAGTGAGAGGAGAACAACAAAGAACATCTAGGAGAAAACAGCTCCAACACTGTTCCAGGAAAAACCCTGAAAACAGGAATGGGAAAGGTGGCAGAGGCCAGAATGTTTGACCGCAGGACAAGTGAGGCAAAGAGAGGGATAAAGGCTCTGGGAATTAGTACCGACCACAAAAATCCCTAACTAAAGGCACAGCTCCAAGGAAACTAGAGATGAAAAGAACAACTCATGACCCTAGATTCTGTAGTATAGAAAGAAGGGAGGATTCCGAAGTAAGCAGTGTGGCCGAGGAAACCAATTTCAGTGCATAGGATATCTGCAGCGGGGATGGAAAATAGAAGGGGAAAGGGAGAGTGCTAAGAGTTCCAAGAAAAGGGCTAAGGACTTGAAAGTACTTAAAATAATGCTGATTTAGAAAGCCACACAGACTCTGCCACTCACTTCAGTGCTGTCTGTAAGATCAACGTGAGGCGAGGCTGCACAGGCTGAAGGAGGCCAAGTGAGTGAGGCAGAGACTGAACGTGCGTGGCCCAGAGGCTGTCTGCCAGATGAGCAGGGGGAAAGGCAGACCCAGACAGGCCATTCACCTTAGGAATGGCGAAGGTGCTCTGTACCGGGGCTGAATGGAACACAGCCTGTGCCCTCTCCCAAGGGGACTTGAGGAAAATAAAGCAAACAAACCCAGCCAGTAAGGAGCAGAATATGCAAATATGCTGGTACTGCTCCTCCTTCACAGGAGGACTCTTTGTCACCAAACTGCTTTTCAGGGAAACACCAGAGAAATCCTCATCAATTTCATCAGCCAGAAGCTGCCGTTAAGCCAGCAGGACAGAAGCTGGTGGAGTTATTAATGGCTTTCCCAGCTGTTGAATTCTGTGCATCTCTGATTAACTCTCAGAGGGATATTTGGGAAGGAGAGGGGGAAGAAAATAAGATTTTCTTGTAAAAGATTTTATAAGGAGAAAAACACCCTTAAACAATAGGCATCTGAGACAAATGCCAAATACAAGAAAATGCATCTCTGGAACAAGGGAGAGACACACAGCAGCAACTCTTGTTAAACGCCTAGGATTAATTGCCTCAGAGAGAGGCTGTAATTTAAAGGAATGAAAAACACACCTACAGACTGCTGTCTGAGTCCTGACCAGACAGTCAGGTTGTCATTACTCCTCATGACAAATGGCTCTGACTTGGGCCTTTATAAATGAAGCTCTTGCAGCAAAAAGCTCAAAAGGCCATTGTCCTCTTGACAATACAGTTGACTTCGCTGAGAATTAGACTATTAAAAAAATAAGTGTTTTCCTATGCTCTTCTGTTTTTACTCAATCTCCAGACAATAGAAGGCCTAGCTGGTATTCCTGTCCCTGGATGGCACAAGTCCTTTCCTTACCCAGGTGCTCTTAGTAAGAAACCGAGGGCCCTGTCTCTACTGCCAAAGGACTGTGCACACATGTAAAGGCTTAGATTCTGGGAGGAAGGCACAGGGCCCGTGGGTGTCATTCATAAGGGATACCTAAGAGCACATGTCTCTTGGAACTGCAGAGCCCTAACTTTTCCCTAAGGAAAAAGATAATTACCGTTTACAAATTCCTCTCCTCCCTTATTCTACCTTTAATTTCACTTGCATACATTCCATACTCCTATTGTACATTTTATTTTAAGAATACAAATCTAGATCTCTAAGTGGTTATGTCCTCCTTTCCCCCCTCCTCCCCGCCTGGCTGTTTAACTCTTTCCTTCTGTGTTTTCCCATGCTATGCCCAAGTACAATCCATACATATTCCCTCTTCTTTCTCTTCTAGCATTCCTTATAATAAATATTCATATAT